ACGTATCGATATAGCTTAAGGTCATAACTAAGTGACGTAAATATTCCTGACTAGTATTTATTCTTACCTAAGCTGTGGTATAGAAAATTTAGCTCCTGATGATGTAATTGTAGATTGGTTAAGCTTCGATTACGGAAATGATGATAAAAATCCAGTAAAAAATGTCACATTTTACTACTTTAATGACGACACAGAGTCATTCGAAATTAAAGAAATTAAGGGGAAGGATGTAAGCTATTTTCTCCCTATAGTTTACAAAGAAGAAATAATTCGAATATATCTACGTACTAAAGAAGAGGATAAAAAGGTAGTTTTAATCGACATTTTTGGTTTTATTACAAATAATTACTAATTAATTAAATTTTAAATAAAAAAAGGATGAATTAAAAAAAAAAGTTAAATCAATTAAATATTATGTTAGTGAGATAGTAGAAGAATTAGGCCTAATTGAGTAAAGATCTTTAAAATTACTCAATAAGTAATATTAATTAATATTCTTTCTCATGAGTTATTCTTTTTTTGATTAGGAGAGAAGAGGAAAGTAACAAGGAAAGTGAACAGGGTAATGATAACATTGACGATGAAATGATTAGAAAGGACAAAAGACCTAATACTTCTGGTGAAACATCTCAGTCAAAGAAGAGTAAAAAATAAAAATAAATCATAAATTTCATCAATTATCTATTAGATAACCAATTTATCAGATTTATATTTGCGGATACATATATATATATATATATATACTCTTAATTATCTGATACTTTGATTAATAATAATGATGTAACCAAAAATTTTTAGTTTTTGGTTCATGCTATAATTTTGACAGAATGGATTGTTAAATGTATTCGGAAAAATTTATTATTTGTTTGATTAATTAATCTTATTGAATATTGCTTTTGGTTTTGTATATGCATCTCAATTCTTAATTTTATGATTTTTAAAGAACATTAGATTTATCTCAATCCTTTATGATTTTAAATAACATTAGATGTATGATTTTTAAATAACATCAAATGTATCTCAATTTTTTATGATTTTTAAATAACATTAAAATAAAAAATTATATATTTATCGCAAGATATTGCATACGAACACTGATAAAAAAAAATACTCTTTTATATCAAAATATAATTTTTAGCCAGTCAGTATAGCAAAATAAGATTTAAAGATATATTTGATCTGAGCCGATTAAATTTTTACGGCTAGTTAAATATTTAGCGACTTAGCTGATAGGGATCATGAGATTTTGCACTTGAGATTAATGAATTAATCTGACAATATTGGATAGTAGTACGGAGAATGCTCGAAATATGTATAAGAATACTGGAAAAACATGAAAATATATCTGAGCACAAAGCTAACCTTTGTAAATTTCCAAGTATATCGGTCACCCTATAGTTGTTAGGCGAAACCATTTTGCACAAGTAACAAAAAACGAAAGACAAAACCCTGGTGAAATGGCGAAAATTCCGACTAATGTCTGAATTTTCAGCAAGAATCGAATCTGTTAAGACTTTGGAAAGCCTTAGCCGTGTTGACGAATAAAAATATTTTGCATGTGGATATTAAGCATCGCATGTGTTTTGTATAAAGAAATGTACAAAGCAATAAAAAAAGCAATAGCTTTTTATTTGTATTCGAGTTACTGTTTTTAGGCGAAACCATTTTTGTCAATAGCGGAAGATGAAACTAAACCCAGCAAAAGATGAAAATAGTGAAATTCTGGTAAAACGGCGAGGCCTCCAGTATATACATGTGACCGAAATTCTGAACTTTCGAACTCAGTTTCGATTTTGATTTTGATTAATTTTGATTTATTATTATATTTTTCGAAATCGAAATCTTGATCGAAAGCTACAAATTAATCGAAATTGTCGAAATTCAAATCATAAAATAAATCTTTATTAAATATAATCTATCATTATTATGAAATAATTACCTATTGCTTTTAATTATATAAAATTGTAATTATTTTTTATTGTAGCAAAATTTTGTAGAATTCGATAATAATTACGTTTTTCATAAATTAAATTTGTGACTTCATGCAAAATTTCGTAGAATTCGATAATAATTACGTTTTTCATAAATTTAACTCATATTAAATCTGTGACTTCATTTAATTAATTGCTGTAAAAATTATTGCAAACTTTTACGGATCATATAAATTTAATCGCTTGGAAACCGAAAGTTTGTTTTATAGCAATAAACAATGTCACCTAATAGTGAGTCTTCGAATACTACCAAAAAAGTATGTGGTCGTCCTCCAACTGATATATGGAAAAAGTTCATAAAAGGAAAAGAAGTTTATAAAGGATATTATGCTGTGACATGTAGTTACTGTTTTGAAAGATGGTCTCCTGGCAAACTTAAGGAACTTAAAAAGCATCTTGCGTATGAGTGCCAAAATATTGATTCTGAAACTAGAATTGAGGCCCTAACTTCGTTAGCACATGGTTTAGACTCTGATGAAGAATTACCGATTACTAAATCTAAAAAAAAAGCGAAGATTACAAAGTAATATTGATGAAGCTTATGAAAATGTCCCTACTTCTTTAAGCAAAGCAGATCAGATTAATAAAGCATTAGTAAAATTAGTTACTTGTTGTAATATACCATTTGCTCTTATTAAGCATCTTTTTTTTTTGATTTCATTAAAATTTTACGACCTACCTATTCTCTTCCAAGCCACTGGATTTTATCCAATACGCTTTTTGACCAAGAGCTTGCTAGAATCAACTTAAAGGTTGAACGGATTATTAAAAAGAAGTTAATCTTACTATTGTATTTGATGGATGGACAGGTCCTACTGGGCAATCTATCTATGATTATTGTATAATTACTGAAGAACGTAAAGAATTTCTTTGGTGCTCTAAAAATTATTCCAGCATTCCTCATCATACGGGTGTTTTTCTTGGCAATGAGCTTGTTGAAATTGTTGAAAATATTGGGCCAGAAAATTAGCTGCCGTGGTGTCTGATAATGGTTCAAATGTCCGTGTTGCTCGGGAAATTCTTTGCAAAAAATATCCACATATTTTAAATCTTCGATGTATGCCACATTGCATTAATTTAATTACTGAGGATTTATGCAAGCATAAGTTTGTTATAGAAATGATTCATAAAATAGGTGTTCTTCATAAATACTTTACAAAATCTCATGTGGCATGTCAGTTTTTAGATGATGCAATTAAAATTT